CCACCCCATGTCAAGTCTCCTCCCATCACCACTTATCCTCCCTTTACCCTCTTCTACCTCCCCCCACCCCCTTTTCCCTCTGGTAATCACCATGCAGTTGTCTGTGTCTATGTGGATATTTTTTTTTTTTTTGCTTAAACCTATGTAATTTTATTAGACAATGTCACCCTAATAAACTGAATTAAAAAGAAGAAAAAAGACACCCTGGCTACTTTGGCTCAGTGGTTGGAGCATCGGCCTGTGGCCCAGAGAGTCTTGGGTTCAGTTCCTGCTAGGGGCACATACCAAAAAAAAAAAAAAAATGAAGAAGAAGAACAAAATGTAAATGGTATTTTTTGTCATCCATCTTAAACATTAGCTTTTGGAATTGTTATCTTCAGGCATTACAAAGTAATTTTCCACTGAATGAAATGGCTTGCCACCCCCCCCCCTCACCTCACTGCTGGTAGGAGTATAGATAAAAGGTTATATATGTAGAATATTTTTATTTGGGCCCTTATAAACACAATTTAGGAATGCTTTCATTTTTGCCACTACTCTCATCACACCACTATTTACATATTTTCCAGTGCTAAAGTTCATAAACTGAATCCCCATAAAATAAGTTAAGGAAAGGATTTTAGGTAGAGGAACTTGATGAAGACTACAAAGATTCCTTATAATTAACTTTAGTTTCTATACCATATCTTAAACTATTGGTTTAATTTTTGTTCACATTCAACAAAGTCCTTATATATAATTTAAAAATTATCTTTTTAACAAGGCTTCTGTATGCATACACAACTCCTTAGCTCAAGCAAGTTATAAAGCAATACCAATTTTAGCCTTAGCCCCATTATATCGCTTCCCAGTTCATCTTTATTTGTTATGTCACTGGCATAAGTAGGAACAAACTATACAGCCTGCAAAAGCACACACTCTCATAGACCTTTCTATCTGATAAAGCCTACTTATAAACTAAAACTCCTCTTAAAATCCCTTAGATTTTAATGGAAAACCCTCCTGTCTTTTCTAATTTGTAAAAAAAAAAAAAAATCAATTGACAATTGTAAAATCAAATGTAGAAGGGATTTTTGAACTTCTTTATATTTTTAACATCTACATTTTATTATTCAATAGAAAGGAATTAATTTGTGGAATTAGTTTTTTTATTGCAGATTTTATACAGATGAGAAATATAAACATGCATACTTGTATATCAATTTAAGTTTTTTCTTAATTTCATAGGTGTTCAGCAGATGAATCACCGTAAGAAACTTATTATTGGCTTTCATTTCATACAGACCCAGAGAAATCCACCAAAGTTACTTTAAGCTTAATAATGCTTAACTCATGAGCTCCACATGCCTTTTGGATCTTTGCAACATTGAAGATGTAGAAGAAGTTATTCAACTATTTTGTGATGGTGTTTATCGTTTTATATTTTAAAGAGATTATTTTGTAAAGAATAACTTTTAATACTATAGTTTCATCTGTTTTCTAGTAAATGTTGAGATTCAGTTTTGCTTTTAGATATCATTATTACTTAAGTTACTAGGATGATACCTTTCATGTTTTGATCTTTAGTTAACTATACACTAATGAAACATGCAGGTTTTTCAGAGTCATTCTAAATATTCAACTTTCGTAAATCATCAAGCCTCAAAATGCTTTTATTTTTTAACACAAGTAGGTTCTAAAAATGACTGTTGGTGGGGAGGTGCAAACAAGTCATACCTTCTTAAAAGAGAAGTTTTTAATAAACTCTTGGAAATGGTACCTGGAAAAGTATTGACTCTTCTACAAAGGTAGCTCGATGACAATCACATTGAAGAGCCCTGTGTTTAAAGCATTTATAGGCAACATGTAGCAACAGAGGTACTTGGTGTGCAGTATTTACCTTCTCTGTTAGAAGAGGAAATTAACCCTTATTTAACATGGTTGGGGATTTAGTGAAATACCAAATAACCAAGGATGGGTTTTTGGTAATACTGTAGAAATTAGTCATGCTTCATTTTAAAAATCTTCAGTTCAAATAGCATATTACATGCTTGGATTTGGGGAGCTTAAAAAGCTTATCTTCATGTTATTAAATACCTGATCAACAGGTAGGAAAATAATTTACACCAGCATATTTTTGTTGTGGTAGTAAAATATGCTATAAACTATTTATACATTTTTGTTCTTCATAATTATCCAGTACATAAGCATCATTTGTTCATTTTTGAAAGGGTATTTAAATAGGCATTTTTTTAGTTAATATGAAAGTAACCATAGTACAAGATGATTTCTGTCTGTACAAAGATAAGTTAGACTATATAGTTAATTTTCAGTTATATTTATATACTGTCATGTGGGTAATACCTTTTTTAAAGCCCAATATATATATTAAGCCTGCCTGAGTTCTGAACAGTAGTATAATTGTTTATATTAATTTTGATAGCTAATGTTTTATTGTTTGGAATTGCACAATTTGGTTTTTGCACAAAAGTCATTTTTAAAAATCTGAATAATTGCCAAGTATTAGAAAAAAAGATATTCTTCAAGTAAAGAATACAGTTTTTAGTCAAAGTGGTCATTGCCTCCTCTCTTTTTTGTAATAATAAAGACAGTTGAATAAGTTGCTGTCATGTCACATGCCAAGAAAATCATTTTCATTGGTGCCTATACTCTAACAATTACTTTTAACACATTGTATTTTGAAGTAATGGTTCAGTTAAAATATCCACCTTCTATGTAACTGAAACTCAATTATAGTTTATAGTCTGTAGAGGTCAGAACATTAATTTCTTATTCATATCATGAATTAAAAGAATATTTTTGTAAATATAAAAGCAACCAATTTATAAACTGATTATTTGAAACTTTAGAAGACAACTACATCATGAATAGAAATTGTATTGCTTATCATTGTAGTTATTAGTCCTGTAAGCTATTTCTAGGTGAAGCATACTCCAGTGTTTAAGAGTGGAGGGGTAAAAAATAAATATTTAAATTTCATGGTCCTCGATGTTTGTTTTCTTGAGGGCTGTATGGTGTGGTATTTTAATTGTTTCAAATTATTTTTCCTTTGTCCATTGGTTTATTGTTGGAATTTTATCACCAATATTTTCATTGGAAACTAAAGGCTATTCTTGATATTTTATTAAGCATTGGTTACAGCTACAGTGACTATATGTCCTCATTTTTGCCTCTTGTCCTGACAAAATTATAAATAGAGTCCTCTTCACTCAAAAATGTTCTAGGTTGGACAATAAATTATATGGTCCTCCTGATTATAGTTTTTATTAGGAAATCTTACAAAAATTTGAATCCTGTAGTTCTCTGGGGAAAACAAATTTTATAAAGACCTGTAGTAATTGAAACAAGAAACAGCATACAAGCCTAAACAAATTTGAGTTTTTCCTAGAGGAAAGGTCAAAGATGAACTTAATATAGGTTTGAGGATGTATAGGATTAATGTACAGGTGACTGGACTTCAATAGTGGGGTGGGCAAAAGTAGGTTTACAATTGTGAGCATGCGAAACAGAGAGTTAATAAAGTTATTGTAATAACCGAAACCTGCATGGTTTTTTTCCATACAAACAACTGTAAACCAACTTTTCCCTACCCTTGCATATTCTTATTATAAACTAGCTATTCTAGACTTGTGAGCTTCTGGATATGCTCTCAGGAGAAGGAAAGAAAGTGCTTGAATATGGCAAAGGAGTAATGGAAGGTATATTAAAAGGGATTTTTCTGATGAAAAGACTAGGAGAGTAAGGAAACTATTTCATCCATCTTTTCTCCATTAAAGTAATATATGAAAATAGCTTGCTTATATAATTGCAACATTTTTTAAAATTTAGTACTTAACATTATCTTATAAATATGTTTTACTTAATATTAAAATCAACAAAAAAAATGATGTTCTTAAATAGAATGCTATGCCTTCCAGGAGGAATAGTAGAAAAATTCTGAATGGGTTAAGAATAGACTTTTGGTTTAACTCAGTCTGGTTTTATTACTATCTTTTTTCAGCTATCATAATTCTACCATTTTTTTTATCCCTGACTATACATTTTAATCTGTCTCCTTCCTTTTACGTGTTCTACAACTGTCCCTTCCCTTAGTAACCAGCTAGAACAAATAACTCCTGAAATTTATTAAAACAACAACAGAAAGGAAAACACTTACAGCTTATTTTTAATAAATAAATGGATTTCTATCAGTCTTTATTAAAATACTATTCATCTCATTTCCTTGCCTGCATACATAGAACAAGACATAGCAAAAAAATAAATCTTTGCAAGAGATTAAACAAACCAACAGTTAGCTTTTATCTTTTACTACATATAATAGATAAGAAGAGAGAAGTAATAAGTCAAACATTATTAGATCCTCAGAAGGCATTAGAAATTGATTAATTCATTCACTTCTGAGGTTTAGAATTCTTACAAGGCCTAGATAAATCATAAACTTGTGGCTGTTGAGAAAAATCTATGACACCATCTTGTTCCTGGGCCATGCTCCCCCTAATATATGTTATAAAAATTGAAGTTCTTAACATATTACAGGACCAATTTTACTGGACCCCACAAAGACAATGAGGACTGAAACCTTTAGTTATAGTACTAAGAACAAAATGACTAACAGTTGTGATCTACTAAATCACTAAATGACATCAGAAGCCAATTCTATATGCCAACCCACACTGTTACTATTCTTCAGTATTAAGAAGCCTGACCTTTATATATAATGTCTCTATGGGAAAATGTATCATGGAAATGACAAATACTCACTTCACCTTGCCACAATGCTAAGGAGGGGAGGGCGTGTTCCATAATCCCTTCAGAGGGAAAAGAATAGTAGAGGCTGACAAACAAGGCAGCAGTTGAATCTTTATAAGCTAAGTGCCTAACTTTGGAAGATTCCCTAAATACCAATAAATAGGAACTACGAAAATGGTTTATGCAGAAGGTTCCTTCTTTTTACCTAAGTTAGTAACAACTGGACCACAAATGGTCACGAGTGTACCCTTTTAAGCTAAAAATTAATTATATGGTTTTAACAAAGTCCTGTCTTCAGTAGTTTGTATATTGAAAGAAACATTTTCATTTTCTTCATCTAGCTGTAGACTACCAGAAGATAAGCGGATTCTGGGCATGGGCAACCTCATTTCTTTACCATACAAAGAGTAATAGTCTGTTTTAAGAATCTCTGGTTCAGAGTCACTGGATTCACTAGCTGCATATCTTTCTGCTTCTCCTTGATCCATTAGAACTGTTGGAAAATCCTGTTCTGCAAACATATAAGTAAACAGGTCAGCTTTACGACTCAGAGCAGGACAAGGCCCTAAAGGTCTAAATTCTGACCCAAAAGGGAAATGGATAGTTTTCATGTCTGATTGGCTCTGGGACCGCTTAGGGGGTTGCTCTTGAATATTATATGCAAATGCATCTTCTAAAGTTGGGTCTTCTAGATCTACATTGATGTTGCTCCTACCACTAGTCCTGGCCATAGCTTCTTGGATTTCTTGAAAGTTTTGCTGAAAGCTCTTCATTCTGATATTCCTTGGGCTTCTTTTGGCTGGTTTAATTGTAGTGGGATCTAGACAGCTATCTGGCTTTTCCCTTTCCTCTACCATGATTGGAGACCATCTGGGCACCTGGGGTGGTTTGTCCAAATAAAAAAAGACTTGGGAAGGCATATTATCAACCTGATGACCAGTACAAGGAATATAGGGCACATCTGTGTATGTTAGCCTCCTTACTGGACTCACTTTGCTTGTAAGGCCAGATGTGCTCATGTGATTGTCAGCAAATTTACAGCTTGTTTGGAAGGAGCTGAGAGGGCTTCTTTCCTCAAAGTAGTTTCTGGGATCAGTGTCAGGATCAGGATCAGTGTTAAAGACAGGATCAGTATAAATAAAAGAGAAAGAGGAACTGCTTTGTGACTGATGTAACGATGTGGGATCTGCCTCTGGTTTGGAATGCTCCGGCTCTGCTGCAAATGTCACCTCCACTGCAGAGTTTCTTCTACTGTCTAGCACAGGCTCAGATGCATGCACTCCATTCACATTTCGGCAGTACCCACTGCCACATGCTAGTCTCAAATCTTCCACCTTGAGAGAAAGGACATGTTGGTAAAAGAAGGAAAAATTCATTTGGTTGGGGTGGGATTAGGGATCTAAATTAGCTTTAACTCTTGCAAAGGGGATTTTCCACAAAGTTATTTCAAATCAAGTTCTATTCCAGGGTTAATAAATATATACAGAAAGGGTAATAATGTGTACCATATCCGAATTCATGTTCAAAAGACACACATGACACTATCCTTTCTCAATGCCATCCTACTCCCAGGCTCTGAGTTCTCTGTGTACTTCAGCAAGCATTGCACTTCAAGCAGTATGGTTTAGTACCTATATCAATGAGCCAGGAGTTCTGACTGCTGACCTGGCTCTGTCTTTGACTTACTCTATGACCTTAGGCAAGTCTTCTAACCTCATTGTTCAGCCTCCTGCCTATTTTCTGTAAAATGGTGATGAGGAGGCCTATGAATGGCATGAGGGAGTCATATATTAGATGGTACCTTTCAACATTATACCTTTGTGATGCCTTTCAGATAAAAACTGCCTATGACTTGAATGAAGACATGAGGGTTTCTGAGGCCTATAATTAACTTTTTTAGTGAGAGCAAAAGAAAATTTAACATAGTTCATACTATAACACTCAAATGAAGCCCTCGTCTCACAGTTCCAAGAGAAATAGCACTTTGTTCTTAAATTAAGTTACAGAATTATACAGCAAAAGTACTTTAAAATCTTAACCCAACACCTTATAGTTTCTTCTGTGCCTTAAGATTTTTATAGGTAAACAAGCAGAACTTTTATTTTTAAAAATACAAGCCATAGAAATTAATTTGATTCTACATTTTTCAATGTTAGCATTACAGATTGCAAATTAAATATGTTCCAGATCTTTCCAGTCAGTAAGGTAAACATACCAGTGATAGTTTACTAACTGGTTGATTGGCTGGAAGAATTGAGTTGACAGACCTCTGCAGGAGGCTAACCAACTTGAACATAGTAACCTTTTTACACACTGGGAGATTCTAGCAGTATTAATTCTTAGAAGCTTTTGAAGTGACACATTACCACTTATCTAAAGAAAAAGGCATTTTCAGAAACCTTACTTGTTTTGAGACATCAGAGAGGAGATCTGGTGAGGACCTGCATTGTCGTTCATGGTACTGAGATGGGTAATATTTCCTGAAATTACCAAAGGAAGAATGAATTGAAATGGTCTTTGTATGAATACAGGATATAAATAAATCTCTAAATTCAACCTAAAATCAACATGAGAGAGAGAAACAAAATCATGTACCTTTCAAATGGCAAACTCTTCAACTGCCCTTTTTTCCCATATTCCAAAAGTTGCCTTTGGGTTCTTCCACTATTATAAGAACAAGATAAACATAGTTTTAGTGCTAGTTGTAAGTAGGCTACTAAAACTCAAAAGCCTCATTAATTGTTGAAATTAAGAGTCTGGATGAATGACATATGTCATGAATCTTTGACCATCATATTAATAATAATACCCACTTACCTAATCAGCAGGCATAGAGCAACCTCAACTACTCAGAACCCAGAAATTTTTAAAAAGCCTCTGAACAGGGCTATATAAGTTAAAAATCCTGGCCTTGGAAACTAATATGCTTTTTTAAAGGAATTTTCTCTACTTCCAAATTTACATATGATTTCTACTGAGGCTATTGAACTGGTTTCCCAATCCATGACAGAAGTAAAACAGCTAACAGTAGAAGAGGTTTGATCCAGTCAAATATATACTAGCAAAAAAAGCCAGCTGACTGCTGGGAGAAACACAGAAGCCAAAAAATCACCAGAATAATACAACACAAAAATTCTGGGCCATTTATCACTGAGATACAGGGCCTGACATGTCTCCCCCACCCTGAAGCCATCACTGTGCTACAGCTGCCTGCAGCCAATATTTATAATTACTTAGGCCATTAAATAAGGGCAAAATATGATCAGTATCATCTGTTTAAGAAGTAGGGAATTATACACATTTTGGAAAGATTCCATCAAAAATATGTATGTTTATAAAATCTCAGTTCTTACTGGAGCAGGCCTTCACTATTTGAAAAATCCCTTATGGGAAGAATTCAATTAGAATATTTTTATCTTAGCAAAGAGTTTTGAAAGTTTTTTTCAAAAGAATTCCTAGATTGGTGTCTTCATGTAAAGACAAGATCTTAGTTTAACCTCACTTCCATTCCTCCAAGGTGTTACCTGTAGTAAGGATCTTGTACAGCAATATTGCTCAAACTTTTTAATCCCTTGGCCCCTCTCATGCTTACTCATACTATTTTTTGCCTAACCACCACCAAAAGGATATTGCTGAGCTTTCTTTTCTATGGCTTGCATGTAAGTTGCATATAGGCAAAACAGTAGGTTCAATGAATATGTTTTCTTAAAACTTCTTATATCCCCTCATCCTTGTTCTAACTCCTTGAGTAGGGTGTTCCCCCCTCCCCCGTGTCCCTTTTAGAAAATATTGAATTAATGTGTCATGTAGAGAATGAGCAATAAAGACTATAATTCTTTAAGTTATTGAAATTATTCATTGCTTCTAGAATTCAAGCTCCTCCTGCTGCCTTCAATGTTATTGAAAAGGTGTGTGTGTAGTTTGCCCATGTGCAATATTAAATTACCTATAGCGGAAACTGGAACCCTTACTGCAAAGTAGGGTTTTGGGCTTTGATTTGGGCTCTTCAGAGAGTCTGAAGAAAGCATGGTATTCCACACAAGTCTTCCAGAAAGCCTTGCAGGCATCTCGGCTGGCCATGGTGAACTCCAAGGTGTCCTTGCTCAACACCTGTATAAAGCAAGTTCCATCAAGCAAAACAGCCTTCAAGAATATAAAGACCTTTAAATCCCAAAGCTTTCCAAACTCTTGGTCTATGTGTCCATGCAGTTTCCAGTTTTTCACTTGGCTCCCTATAGGCTTCAAACCTACTAAAACCAAATTATGGGCAAACTTGCAAGGAACAGCCAGGGCCACTGCTCAAAAACAGAGCTTTCTCTAAGAAGCAAATCTTACCTTGCACAAACCCCTCACCTCAAACACATTTTTACCTCTTCTTTTCTGCCAGGAATATTTTTATGAAGTTGTAAATTAGGTTAAAATGAACATCAAAAAGCAACCTTTCAAGGTAACAAAGAAGTTATAAATGACCAACAGAAAAGGGGAGGAGGAGGATATTTCCTTACAAATGGCAGACTTTATAGGATGGTTACATGTACATGAATCTTTTTAATATTTCAGCTAGAAGGATTTTTTTCTCTCTATGCTGCTTTGTTCTATGATGCTTTGTATTATTCATTTAGCATATTCTAATCTTCTCTAGGGGAGCTTAGCCTTCCAGAAGTAAAAGTCCATTTTTTTTTTTGCACTCCCCTGACTCACTATACACCCCTGTTTTCCTATGCATGTGTGTAGCCAGGTGCCTCCCATCTCTTATTCCTTTCCATGTTCCTATATACAGCCCTGGGAATCTCCATAAGCTTCATACTAGATTCTATATAAGGCTATGATCCAGAGAATAAAGCCCAAACTACTGGATGTTCTGTAGGTCAAAAAAAAGTATTGATACATATTGTCATTTACTTTATAGTCATAAAAGAACAGCCTTTCCAGCACCTTTGTCTTACTCTGTACAATGCAGCCTGGACCAATAGTTACTTCTTTTGCTTAATGTACACCGAACCCCCACATCCTGCTTTTGTAAGCTGTAAATATTCGATTTGGCATGTAGTAAGTGATTGATTATTTTTGCTTAAGGAAAGAGGAAATATTTTGTAAAATGGAACAGAAAAGAGAGAATGAATATGTCCATAGTCTTAGGTCTGGTCACTTCTATTTGACTCATCAGATCCCTGAAAAATGGTTACTAAGGAAACTTGTCTTTCCTTCCAACCACCCCATTTTCCTATTACTTTAATTATTCTGAATTGCCAATAGAATTTCTTTGTGTTTTGCCTTTAGTAAAAATATGACTAAGTAAGGCTCTGATTTATTTATGTAGAGTCAAAAGAGGCAGCACATCACCCCTCAGGGCCAGCTAGCTTTCACTCACATTCAAACCATTTGCAGAAAACAACCAAGAAATCCCAAGTGAATAGAAAGTAACAGAATTTATTAGAAAGCTACTTACCAAGATATTGGCATGTAGTTTGATGAGAAAATGCTTTCTCTTAAAACTCAACTTGCGGATTTTCGCCCAATTGAAAGTATTAATCTTTGTATTTCCCTATAATGAAACACATGGCAGATTTCAGGATGAATGTCAGCACAAGATGGTCTATAAGACAATACAACCCTGTTCGAAAATGCACTTGAACAAGACTGCCCTTGATTTGTCTCTAGCACAGACTGATCCTCTCATACTTGATAAATGTTATGGCCAATGAAGACATTCCAGGTGGGACACAAGCCCCTTTCACATGTGTTACTTAGCACCCCACAGTTCTTCTAGCACAAAGCAAATCATTTTTTCTTATAATTATTTTTTTGATTGTTTGCTTTCCCCCTATTAGAATACAAGTTCCACTAGGTGTGGATTATTCCTATTTACCTCTGTAGCTCTAGTCCCTGGAACAGAGTGAATGCAGAATAAATATATTGCTAGAGGATGAATAAATAGATTGTTGCCCAACTTTGTAAATATACTCAAATCCATTGACTTGTACAGTGAAAATATATTAATGTTGTGGGATAAAAATTATATTTCAATAAAGTTTTTTTTTTTTTTAAAGAAAGAACAATGCAATGAAGAACACATGGAAGGTACTCAATACTAAGTAGTCTTTGATTGGATTTGAGTAGGACAAAATAGACCAGCTATATTGTTCACAAGTTGTGGAAGTATTCAAAATGAAAGAGATCACAACTAATATTATGGTCTTGCTCACTCACTGTCCCCATCTGCTCCCACACAATAGTAAATACCAAAGATCAGGGTTTAGAGTGGAATGGGTAAAATTTCCCTCCTGAGTAAACAAGTTGCCTGTGATCCATTGGTCTTTTGCCCATCAATGTGATTCTCATGCTCTGAAGTTTACAAGCAAACAAATGAGAAGGCAAATATTATTTTAGCTCAGTCTACACCTGACCTGCTCTGTGATTTAATTCACTGCTCTAAATTGGTACTTCGGGTCAGTGAATCTGAGGTTACCCCTTCCTCTCTCACAAGTGTTTTGTTCTCAAACCTGCCTAGGTATCTGCTTTTCATTTCAAAGTACAGGCAAGTGTTCTTAAACCTTAACTTGGATCTAAATTCATTGAATGTTGATAGATGTGAGTAGACCTAATAAACAAACAAAAAAAAATGCTGAAAAAAAAAGCTTCTTCCCAAGTTCTGTGGAGTGAGTATCAATGGGAAAGAGAACCTTGAGTTGGTTTCTAACCTAAAAAATAAAGTCCTGGGTAAAGATGAATCAGTAAACAGCAACAATTGCTGGCAGGACTGGGCACCAACTCTCTATTGGCTGACACTGGGTGCCTCCAATAAAACTGATAACTGAATGAGAACACCACATTTTGGAGCCTTTGAGTTGTTTCTGATGAATTTGTCACAGCCTAAGCTTTTAGGATGCCAAAATCCATATTCTTATTTAGAGTTCCGAAGAGCCTCTTGACTTCCTTTCTTGACCATGCTGGCCTGATCTAATGTGTGAGCTCTTCAGAATAAAAACAATCAGTTATAGACTGCAAATGGAAGCAAACCAGACTGAGGGGAGAAGACTGACCCAAAACACTTCTAAGCATCACCTCCTTTTCTGGCTGGTCTTAAGGCTGAGGGGCTGGATCACCTTGGGAACAGGCAATAAATTTTGAACCAAGATAATGTCCAAAGCTGAAGGACTTTAAAGGAAAGAGTTGTTACCTGTAACACCAGCACTCCCATGTGAGCAACAGCCAGGTGGATTTGCATCCCTTCGCCATCACTGGCGGGGTATGGCCTGATGCCGTACATATCCACCTTCCTCACTATGTCCAGTAGCAGAATGTCAGATTCAGCTGGGCTCCTGCCACTGTAAGGGGAAAGAATTTATGAGCCTAATAAATGCTGCAAGAATGAAAACTCAACCCTGAGAGCTCTATGAGGAGTGTTTTCTTGGGCTGAAGGGTTCACTTTTAAGAATCTGTCCTCAGCTGTGGTGTTCCTTGCTGCTGAAAGCAGGTGCCAGTTAAAGTACTTACATGTGCTTCTGATGAAAGTGTATAATCTTGCTCTCTAAACAGTCTTGGTTCAGCAAGTACCGAGTTTGTGCCAGGTGTTTCCTATCTGTTTCTTCATGAAAGTCTCCCAGTTCTGCTGCATAATAGAAAATAAATATTTTCATATTACCATTGAGGAGTTAAGCAATAGAGCACCCAGTCGATCCTCTGACCTCCCGTAAACAGCCCTTTCTTTGGAGGCAATGCAGGCCAATGCCTCCGATTCCATGCTTTATGTCTATTTATAAGGAGGAGGGGGGTGTCCTAACTGGTTCTTTTTCAAATCAGAAGCACTGGTTTGCTATGAGTCCCTACATAATAATTCACAAACACAATGTAGGTCGTAAAGGCCACAGGACCATAGATGAATATTTTATCTTCTTCTCCTGCAATCTTTTTATGTCTTTTCTACGTCTGGTAAGTCCATGTTATGAGTTGAATTGTGTTCCAAATCCCTCTCAAATTCATATGTTGATGTCCCAACCCCCAGCACCTCAGAATGCAACTGTATTTGGAGATAGGCTCTACAAAGGTATGATTTTTTTAATGAGGCAGAATTGTGTCCCCTAATCCAATTTGACTGGTGTCTTAATAAAAAGAGGAAACACACAGGGAAGACCAGGTAACGATGAATCATGAGGGTTATAATCTGCAAGCCAAGGAGAGAGGCTTCAGAAGAAACCAAAACTTCAGTCTTAGAATTCTAGGCTCCAGACTGTGAGAGACTAAATTTCTGTTATTCAAGCAACCTAACTGGTGGGTGGTATTTTGTTATGGCAGCCCCAGCAAACTAATTCAGCCTCCTAACTGTGATGCAAGCTAGTAACAGCCATTCATCACTCTGTACATTGGGAATCTAGTGAAATCCCAGCTATATGTAATCCCGAGTAAATAAATGATTCTGGAAATCATTCTCACTTTTTCAAATCAATTGCAATTTACCTCTGGTAATAATCTACTCTTTTCTAGATATCACCAGTCCATTGTTAGAAACTTTTATTATAGCACTATGTCTACAAAGGCAATTAAGGTATATAAGAGTATGTACCCCCACAGTAAAAGGCTTCAAACTGGTTTGCCTTTGAACTCTAGTGTCTTCTTTCTTTATTTTTTTAATTAATTAACTATTTTTCCTGATATGTACATTTATTGAGATTTTACACATATATTTCTTTCCTAGTCTTTTATTTTGTTTTTTATTATTTATTTATTTTTCTTTTTTGAAATTAATTTATTTATTTTTGTTACAGATGTTTCTCCTTTTCCCCCATTAATTCTCCTCTCCCTCTCCCTCCCCTCCCTGTCCCCAGCTTTGTTGTCCATGTCCATTGTTCATGCACACATGCATACAAGTTCTGTGGTTTATCTCTCCCACACCAACCCGTCTTCTGGGGATTGTCAGTCTGTACACCACTTCCACGTCCCTGGGACTACCCCATTCCTCAGACTGTTATGTTCACTAAATTCCACAAATAAGTGAGATCATATGGTACTTGTCTTTCTCTGTTTGACTTGTATTGCTTATGATAATACTTACCAGGTCCCTCCATGTTGTCTCAAAGAATAAGAGATCTTTCTTTCTTACAGCTGCATAGTACTTCACTGTGTGTATGTACCACAGCTTTTTTATCCATTCATTTACTGATGGACATTTGGGCTGTTTCCAGATATTAGGTATTGTAAATGGTGCTGCTATGAACATGGGGGTGCATATATTCTTTATGATTGGTGTTTCAGGCTTCTTAGGGTATATTCCTTGAAGTGGGATAACTGTTTCAAATGAAAGTTCAATTTTTAATTTTTGAGATAACACCATATTATTTTCCATAATGGCTGCACGAGTCTGCATTCCCACCAGCAGTGTACTAGAGTCCCCTTTTCTCCACACCTTCGCCAACACTTGTTGTTTGATGATTTGTTGATGGCGGCCATTCTGAAAGGTGTGAGGTGATACCTCATTGTTGTTTTAACTTGCAACTCTCTGATGATTAGTGATGTTGAGCATTTCTTCATATGTCTCTTAGCCATTTGTCTGTCCTGTCTGGAGAGGTGTCTATTTAGTTCCTCTGCCCATTTTTTGATTGGGATCTTTCTCTTCCTTTTGTAGAGTTGTATGAGCACTCTCTATATATTGGAAATTAACCCCTCATCTGATGTATCATTGGCAAGTATGTTCTATCATAGAGTGGATGGCCTTACCTTTTCAATGGTTGTTTCTTTTGCTGTGCAGAAGCTTTTGATTTTGATGTAGTCTCATGTGTTCATTTTCTCCTTTGTTTCTGTTGCCTTAGGTGATGTATCAGTGAAAATTCTGCTGCATATGATGTCTGACATTTTGTTGCCTACAGTTTCTTCTAGGATTTTTATGATTTCATGAGTCACATTTAAGTCTGTTGTTCATTTTGAGTTTATTCTTGTGTATGGTTTAAGTTGATGGTCTAGTTTCTTGTTTTTGCATGTAGCTGTCCAATTTTCCCAGCACCATTTATTAATGAGGCTGTCTTTCCTCCACTGAATGCTCTTGCCTTCTTTGTGAAATATTAATTGAGCATATATTATTGGGTCTATTTCCAGGTTCTCTATTCTGTTCCCTTCATCTATTTGCCTGTTCTTGGGCCAGTACCAGGCTGTTTGGATTACAGTAGCTTTTTAGTATAACCTGAAATCTGGTACTGTGATCCCTCCAACTTTGTCCTTCTTTTTCAAAATTGCTGTGGCTATTCGTGGTCTTTTTTGGTTCCATAAGAACTTTAGAAGTATGTAGTTGGTATATTGATGGGAATTGCATTGAATCTATAGATTGCTTTTGGTAGTTTGGACATTCTAATAATATTAATTCTTCCAATCCATGAACAAGGTATGTGCTTCCACTTTTATATATCATCCTCTATTACTTTTTTCAATGACCAGTAGTTTTCTGCAAGTAGGTCCTTTATTTCTTTGGTAAAGTCTATTCCTAAGTACCTTACTTTTTTTGCTGCAAAGGTAAATGGGATTTTTTTTTAGTTTCTTTTCTGTGACTTCATTATTGGTGTATAAGAATGCCATCGATTTCATGACGTTAATTTTGTATCGTGCTACTTTGCCAAATTCATTTATTAAGTCTAGCAAATTTTTGATGGAGTCTTTTTTTTTTTTTAAGTATAGTATCATGTCATCTGCGAATAATGACAGTTTCACCTCCTCCTTTCCAATTTGGATCCTTTTTATTTTTTCTTCCTGTCTGATTGCTGTGGCTAAGACTTCCAGTACTATGATAAATAAGAGTGGCGAAAACGACCATCCTTGTTTTGTTGCTGTTCTTAACTGAAATACTATTAATTTTTGCCCATTGGGTATGATATTGACTGTAGGTCTTTCATATATGGCCTTTATTATGTTGAGATATGAACCCTATATTCCCAGATTGCTGAGCGTTTTTATCAGAAATGGGTGCCGAATTTTGTCGAATGCTTTTTCAGCATCTATTGATATGATCATATGATTTTTATCTTTCATTTTGTTTATGTGGTATATTACATTTTTTGATTTGGGAATATTGTACCAGCTTTGAATCCTTGAGATGAATCCCACTTGGTCATGGTGAATAATTTTTTTGATGTTTTGCTGGATTCAATTTGCTTTTAATTTGTTCAGAATTTTGTCATCTATGTTCATCAGGGATATTGGCCTGTAGTTCTCTTTCTTTGTAGTGTCTTTTTCTGATTTTCGAATTAGAATTATGCTAGCCTAATAAAACAAATTTGGAAGCCTTCCTTCTTCTTAATTTTTTTGAAATAGTTTGAGGAGAATGGGTATTAGTTCTTCTCTGAATGTTCGGTAAAATTCCCCTGTGAAGCCATCTAATCCTGGGCTTTTCTTCGTTGGGAGAGTCTTGATTACATCTTCAATTTCTTTTATTGCTATTAGTCTCTTCAAGTTTTCTATTTCTTCTGAGTTCAGTTTCGAGAGACTATGTGTTTCTAGAAATTTCTCCATTTTGCTTAGATTGTCGAAATTGTTGCCATATAATTGTTCATAGTAGTTGTTAACGATCTTTTGTATTTGTGTGATGTCAGTTGTTATCTCTCCTCTTTCATTTCTGCTTCTGTGTATTTGGGTTCTCTCTCTTTGTTTCTTGGTGAGTCTAGCTAAGGGTCCATCAATCTTGTTTATCATTCGAAAAATGAGCTCTTTGCTTCATTGATCCTTTAAAATTTTTTTTTTTTCGTCTCCATGTCATTGATTTCTGCTCTGATCTTTACTACTTCCTTCCTTCTACTTGCTCTGGGTTTTACAATTTGTTTGCTCTCTAGTTCTTTAAGTTGTGAGATTAGATAATCTATGAGAAATTTCTCTTGTTTCCTGAGGTAAGCCTGTACTGCTATGAACTTCCCTCTCAGAACTGCTTTCACTGCATCCCAGAGATTTTGTGTTGTTGTGTGTTTATTTTCATTGGTTTCCAAGAAGTTTTTAATTTCTTCCTTGATCTCCATGGTAACCCATTCATTGTTCAATAACATGCTATTTAGCCTCCCTGTGTTCCAATGTCTTTGCATGTTCTTGTTGTAATTTGTATCTAGTTTCATGGCATTGTGATCTGAGAAGATGCTTAATATAATTTCTATCTTCTTGAACTTTTAGTGCCTTACTTTGTGCCCTAACATGTGGTCTATCTTTGAGAATGTCCCATGTGCACTGAGAAGAATGTGAATTCTGCAGTTTGGGATGTAATTCTCTGTAGATATCTATGAAATCCATTTGATCTAATGCTTCATTTAGTCTGTGTTTTCTTAAGTTTTTTGTCTAGAGGATCTATCCAGTGATGTCAGCGGGGTGTTGAAGTCCCCTGCTATGATTGTGTTGCTGTTGATTTCTCCTTTGAAGTCCTCCAGAAGATTTTTAATATATGTTGGTGCTTCTATATTGGGTGCATATATGTTTACCAAGGTTATATCTTCTTTGTCTTTAGTTATGGCCTTCATTTTGAAATCTACTCTCTAAGATATGAATATTGCTAACCCAGCTTTTTTTTTTTTTTTTTTTTTTTTTTCTTTTCCTTTTTTGCTTGCTTGGAAGATTTTTTTCCATCCCTTCACTTTCAACCTATGTGAGTCT